CTAGCCATACACGTTCCGGTTTGCCGGAGAGGTCGGACTGCACAGTTGCTTTCATCTTGTATGTCCAAATTTGATGTTGATCCTCGAGGCGTATCTTGGTCGTTTAAAAAGCTCATCATATCATAATACCACAATTTAGGCCGATAAACATCGTCAGAAGAAGCTCCTGACTTGAGAGAAGCTTCATATTTTTTTTTTTCTTTTCGGGCACTGCTTCTTAAATTGTTAATTTTCTTCACAACTAAATCTTTGTTAGCATCTGGTTCAAATTCTTTTAATTTTTCGATTAATGCTTTGTAAGCCGCTTCCCTTAGTGGGCGGTCATGGTAGAGCTTTGATTTTATTTGCCACAGACATGGATATGATTTATATAAATCTATAAATTCTTCCAAATTCCTACGGTTCATTATTATATTATATAATATAATTTAATAAAATATGTATAATATAATATAGTAAAATAACTTGTAATAAATTGTAAAATAAGTTACATTGACAACAAACAAAAAAAAACAAACCTAAACCTTAAATAAACAGCAAAAGTACTATGCCGCAAAAGTGAACCAGCCGGTCGAACGACGGTTATATCAACACACGGGCACACACGATCCGGTATGCCTGTACAGTCATGACTGTACAGGCCAAAAGAATCGTTTTTCAATTGTTTTCCGGCCGCCTGTGCAGTCCCCGAAAACTGCGCGAACTTGTCACACACACGTTCCGGAATAACTGTGCAGTCCGCCTGCACAGTCCGACCTCTCCGGCAAACCGGAACGTGTATGGCTAGCTTAAGCCTCGATTACACTGAGCGATTGTACACGCTAGTCGCCGGCAAATAATTAACTCGCTGCGACCAAAGTCGCTCAATGTAATCGCTCTGGTCGCTTACTCGCCGCGTGTTGAATACTCGCTGCTCGCCCGCGATTAAAGTTGACGGCCGGGCTACTTTTTTCACTACTCGCTGGCTATTTTAATCTCTGACGAGTGAAATCGCTTTGTGTAATCGACATGGCTAGCAAAATCGCTAATGTACTCGCGACTAGTAAGTAGTAACTAGTAGTGGTTGCAACTTTCAAGATGTCAGATGCTGTAGTTCGGTTCGCGCAGGTGTTGTTGTTATATCTATGTTATATATATGTTATTTTCATACATTTTTAAAAAATCAATTATTTTATTACTGTTTCACTTCATACTTACAAAACTCAAACTTTAAATATTAACCACAGATAACTTATAACCAAATTATTAAACTAATTAATATTAATATATCTGTTAAAATCGTATGTATACAACTTGTGACACGCGCAAATACGTGCGATTACGCGACTATACTAGGTGTAGTGTAATCGGATAGGTCACTACACGCTAAGTCGCGTGCGACTTTGTTCGCTGGTAAGAAGCGAGTAAATTCGCCCAATGTAAACAACCATTAGCAACGATTAAAAATAATATTATTTTATTCCATTATAATTGACAAAATTCCTTATCGCCCTCTATCGGCAAAAGTTTCTTACGCAGCATATTTTGTATTGCAGTGAGCTATCTATACTATTTATAATCAATGCTAATACATATGTAGTCAAGTATAAGATATATTTACTATTAAGTATAGGGTGTAGACATATTATATGTATAGCAATAATAATGTTTGTTGTTAGAATAAGAATAGTTTTATAGCTATTAATAAAATATACTTATAGTTTAAATACTACGTATATATTTATTAAAGGTCCCATTGCATCATGCTAATTTATTACATTTTATTTAATCGAATTAAACACTAATAATAGTGTTTATATGCAATGGTAGCGCTATCAGGTTGGCGCCACACGAGCGTGCAATGTGCATAGTATCAGTTATGGGAGCAATCACACGAGTAACGTAAGTACGTTAGAATCAATCTTTGGACCTCACGGATCACTTTTAGCTTAAAATAGCTTTTTACATAAATACCGTTAAATAAATTAATGAGGTATTTTTTTTCAGTCATATTTAACTTATTATTTTCATTGTTTGCTGCAATAGATCTATTATCCACATAATACCATGTCTAGGGTCTTATTTTTTTTGGGAAATAATGACAAAAAGATTCTGTAAGTACCTAAAGTTCAAAATTTTCTCACGGATCACCGGTTGGCGACCGCTGCGTTAGAGAATGTAAACATGTAGGTATAAGCTGGGCTGGCGAAAACAAACTATGCTGCTGAGATCCATCTCAGATAAATCATCTTAACATAAAATTGATCTTCGATACCTGTTGTTCCATTTGAAATAATAATTATTATTGTTTATTAGAATAGGTACAAGATATGTTATTGTTGTCATATTAATTACATATATATATATATATATATATATATTGATTATTAATATTATAATATAATAACGTGAAAGTCACAAAATAATCCAGCATAATATATTTTTATAACATACAAAAAAAAAAAAAAAAAAAACACAGTAAAGATGATTTTTTCAGAATGAACAGATTTCTATTTATTAAATATTAAATTATAATAAAAATGTCAGCTATGAATAGCTAACTGCAAATAACAAGAACAAAAGATTTTTTTTATTACTTTATTTATATTTCCACAATCTGTTACATAGTTTGAACAATAAGTGAAATTGATGAAATAGATAACTATGGCATGAAGGACGGATTAAAGATACCTTCCAGTGAAGGCACTTTTACAGTTAAAGATGAGAAAAAAAAAAAGTGTTAAACAATGTTAGAAAATATCATAAGGAAGGATAAGTGGAAATAGCAAAGGTAGATATAGAAAGAAGAACAAAAGGAGTTAGATTGGTCTAGGCTAATAGGTCCCTACACCACCGCCTTTTCAACCTTTTTTGTGGGTTGCCGGGTATATTTATAGACGCAAGTTCTTTGATTAAAGGATTTTTGTGGTTTTGTATGTTGAAATTAAAACGTCTGTAAGTATTAGCTACATCGTTGACAAGAGAGATGGTTAGGTCGTTATGTAATGTATGATTTGATACGTAGAAGGGTGCTTTGGTTATAGCGCGGAGTACTTTGGACTGGAAACGCTGGATACGGTTGACATTTGTAGGTTTTGCGGAGCCCCATAATTGGATTCCGTACGCTTTAAAAATTACAAAATATAATACTTAATAGAGTATTATATCATCTTGTTAAAAAAAATGTTGCCCACATTTGTTCCATTTCGTGTAAATAGAATCTGACTCTGACGACCTATACCAATTTCAATTGAAAAAAATAGAGCAATAAACGTTAGATATCAGTCCCATCAAATCTAATAACTGTTATCAAACTTTTTAAGCACTTTATATATTCCTCTTTTATGGGAATACAGTAAATTTCTTAAAGACCCTTTAAATAATTAGTTACACTAGACCCACCCTCCCTCCAAAAAAAAAAAAAATAAAATAAATAGAGAAATCTTTTTCAAGTGAAATTTGTACAGGTCGTCACAGTCAGAATCTATTTACACGAAATGGGGCAAATATGGGCAATATTTTTTTTAACAAGATGATATAATACTCTATTAAGTATTATATTTTGTAATTTTTAAAGCTTGGAAATCCTTGGAAGTGAACTTAAACTATATATCATTTTTGTGATACAAATATATTATTATTATTATAATTATTTATGTAAATTTATATGTAAATTCGGTAAAACGTATGTATTAAACGTTACGTAACTAACCTGTAGCTAGTGGTTCCATAATAAATTGAATTCAATAAATAAATAATATTAGTTATTGAAAAAAATTAAAAACTAAAATAATATTATTCTGTTAGATTTTATACTGTAACACACGGTGGACTTACGGTGCGTCCGAGGTGAACGCGATTTTGCGAGCGGCCGAGCGGGCGGGCGACGCGATAAAATTCAAAATAGATTTAATTTATGGAATGTCCTATCTAGAAGTTAAACAAGCGGGTGGGCGGGCGATTAAAATATTATCGCTCGCGTCAAAACAAATATTTTTGTTTCTGACGCGGGCGACTAGTACTATTTTCGAATACTTCAATTCGGTTATTTGTGTATTTTAATTGATAAAACTACAAATCGTCCGCCCGCGACCAGAACACTCGCTCGCGCACGTTGAATATCGCGTCGCCCGTCCGCTCGCAAAATCGCGTTCACCTAGGACGTACCGTTATACTACGACTGCTGTAACTAAATCAATTTAAGCCACAACACGTGCACAAAACCAGTAAACAATGCAGTATGAACTCTTTTATTGATAGATATAATAATTCGATAAGATAAGTAAAATTTGATAAATGCTATTTTTGCCAGCTTTCGGTGTCAATTGCCCCACTGTGCATCGCATCGGCAATCCGATTGCTACGGATACAGTGTACGCACTACCACAAATTGATCCGTTTCATACGATTCGTCCAATACGTACTTATGGACGCATACCTTTATACTTACACAAAAATTAAAACGAGATATGAGAGGTAGTTCGTAGATAGCATATTACTAAATGTCCTCTTGGTACATTTTTTTTTCGATCGATTGAAATATATATATATATATATATATAGTTATATGTATCTATAGTTTTTAATTTTAAATAATAACATTTGAGAAATTTGTCAAAATATGCAAAATAAGCATAATTATGTTAAAATAAGCACTCTCTTGCAAAATCTATCAAATATGCAAAAATATGCACATTCAAATTTTAGATCTGATATCATGACACCGAGAAACGAATTTATTTCGTACTCTGCTATATTTAGCAATAATTAAAAAAAGTATGCAAATGCTAGAAGTCCCTAAGCCTACTTATAATCATAATTAGTTTCATATGCGATAAGCCATTCAAATCAAGACTCGAGACTTGAAGAGTTGATTAGAGTAGTGGTAATCTGATTCAAACACACAATTGAAGAGTTGGGAATCAACTTTTTGATTAAACTCATTACACTGAAAAGAGTTGAAAGATTCAGTTCAGCAGAATGAGTTGGAATCCCATCCCTAATAATCAATAAATATATTAAATATATGTTTTTGAACAATTGTTTATCACTCTTATTAATAATTGATAAGATATGTTGATAGTAATTATTTGCTACGCGCATGCGCGTGCAGAGCGTGAAACTAGCAGCAGTAACCTCTCTCGTCCTGCGACCTATCCCCGTAAGTGGAATATTTATCGCACAGAAAAGTTTATAAATTGACTGTGTGTTTAAAACAAGTTTTATAATCTATAAACCTTATAAAAGAGATATATTTATGGATTATAATCTATAAACCTTGTGTTTTTAAGTTACCTGACCTATCTATTATAAACATATTTAGATTTAAATATTAATGATTTTGTTGTCATTTGTTTTATTTTGCTGTTAATATGTCAGTCGTTAATGAAAAACCAAAAAAGAAACCTAGCATAGTAGTAAACACTTATCTATTGGCGTACAATTTTATTCAAGTTTTAGGGTACAGTATACTATTATAATTAATCACTAGATTAATGTATGTTATAATTTTGAATATTTTTCTCATTTTTTATCTTAACTTCAGATGGAGTTATTTGTTATTTCAAATTGTTAACTTTTATGTTAACCCTCCTAAAGATCAATCATTGTGGAACGTTGTGAAGTATACTGTTGGAATTTTCCAAAATGCCGCAGTTTTTGAGGTTAGTATTTAGTTTGTAATTATGTTTTCCAACGAGTATTATGTTTAATGATATGCCATAATAAAAATATTAATTTTAAATATTTTTTACTAAAAATGAATATATAATTAAATTAATTATTTAAACCTTATGGCCTATATGTGCATACCACTTACCAAGAACTTATGATTGCACAAGTAATGATATAAATTATCCTTCTGATTACTACTGAGAAATATCTATTACACAATAAAATTATAGCAATATTATTTTTATTAATTCACCTAAAAAATAAAGGAATAGAACTTGTAAATAAATATTTCCTAAAAGTTTAAAATTTACATTTTAATGAGACCTTATTTCAATCACATTTATTATAATATAAAATATTAAATAATATATTAATTTAAATTATTATAATATTAATATAAATATTAAATATTATTTAATTTTAATTTGATATATATTATTGCAATTAGAAAAATTTACATTAATATTTTCCAAAGTGATGTGAATTAATACATATTTATATTTGATCTATATAATGTTTAATTATTTTCACTTTGTTTAGTGTAATTAATCTAGTTTTCCTAATGAATGATAATATTGTACCAAAAAGTGTAGATACATATATTATTGTATGAAGTTATTTATTATTCATCATATTCAATTTACTAGGTCATAAGTAAGGTTAACAAGATTCAGTTTTTTTTGGTTTGTGTAGAACAAGTTTTAATTCTTGTATTTAATTTATACCATAATGATTTTGTAACAACCACATAACTGTTTTTATGTTGTTGATTCTATAATATCTTGCTCTTGTTTGACCTACTCCAGGCTAAAATATACTTAACCTATAATGGTACCTGACGCGTACACTAAAAAATATTTTGCTAGGAATTTGAAGTTGTACATTTTCGTATTAATATAATCTGTATACCACTTTTACTATATATAAATATATTTAATAATTTTCCTAAATTTTTAGAGGGGTATTAACCCCCCTAAAACCCCCTTTGTATATGCGCTGAGTAGTTCTATGATAATCACTGTTATAACCAACTATTGATAAGTTCATACATAAACGAGAGGATAACGAGCTACTTTTCAGAGCTGGTTTTTATGGTTTTCTTATCATCAAAGTTATATTTTTCCTGTTATAGTAAAATTACATATTGTACTTATACATATTGAATATATAAAACAACCATTGAATTTGTTTGAAGTATGAATACAAAAAAAAGTTCCACTCTTTTGTGTTCTATTTAAGTAATATGTGCTACCATGTACATTTGTACACCAGATTCTTGTTATTCAAAATTGGGGGCATTTAAAAAAAAAAAATGAAGGCTTAAAATTAAAAAAATGCAACCTTTTATAACACTAATTTATTAAAAAATAAAGAATATGCAATAAAACTATTGTCATAATATATATTTGTTTTTAGTAAATTATAAAAAAAGATAAAAATACCAGATTTTTATATTATTTTAATTATTAGAATATAAATACATAATTTAAGAATAATTAATTTTTTTATTTAATGTTATGTTATGATTCTATTATATTTTTATCCTTAGGACTTAAAATCAAAAATGTTGATATAATAATTTGTAAAATAGTAAATATATTATATCCTTAACAAAAAAAAGTGAGAATATAACATTTTTATGAGCTTAAAAGAGTATAGATTGTAACTCTAATTACATATTTACGAAGTAAAGAAATTCCTTTTATTATTGGAATATACGCCCTAAATATAGAGTGATGAAATTATAAAATTAAACTTCAATTATTTGTAATGTTTGTATTAATACAATGTGTTGGCTGAAATTTACTAACTATTAACTTTATACATACATAATAAAACTTATTCATAATTTTGAATAAAAGTATGAATCTTAAACTCAAAATAAATCAACAGCTGTAGATAGATCATTGATATGTGTAAAAGTCAAATAAATAATTCCAATAGTTTTAAAAGCTAAAATTTTTTTGGGCAAATGGAACTTCTAAAATAATTTATTAATATTAATTATTGTTATGATGGACAATGATTGTTGGTTAGGACATATAGTATGTTTGATTTGATTGAAGTATATTAATAATATTATGTACCTACAAATAACTTATCTAAGATGCAAGAAAGAAAATTGGATATTCCTCAATGTAAATTTAACAAAAAATAAAAAGTAAAATATATGGTTCTTCCTACTGATATGTTCTCTAAACGTACCAATACACTGTAGGTTTTTTCTCATAGAGCTTGTTGTGAACCTCAGCATTAGGACATATGAATATATTGTAGAATAATAGGAATATGGATACCGTGTACAGAAATTACCAAGGCTAGAATTTGTATGTAACAGAATGTTTTTTTTGCAACTTCTGATTATTGATTTTGTCAGTAATGTCCACGAACCACCTCATGATGAGATAAATGGTGGTGTTTTTATTTTGCATATTTTGAACACATTGCGTATTATTCCATATATTGAATAAAATTAATATTATTATTTATTTTAATTATAAGAATGCAAAAAATGAATGTTTTATAGTATATTTCGTAATTAATATTTATAATTTAATATTAATATTTCATATTTAATTCTTGGCCTATTGATTAAAGTATAAACATTGAATTTTTTGTAAAATATAAATTTTATTTTATTTCTCAATTATATATATTAAGACAAACAGCTAACCGCTGATGTATTTCAATTAATCAATATTTTTTTTTTGTAATCATATTTTTGTTTTTATCTTATAAAAGTTTAAATGCATATTTTTGCATATTTTGGTAAATAAAATGCATATCTTACAATTTTTTATTGCATACAAATCCTAGCCCTGGTAATTAGTATATAAAGGAGTCTGGGACAGTCAATATCCAGAGAAGATCCAGCTATGCATTAAAGATACCTCCTTGATGTAATTTTATTATTTGTATTATTAAAGATAAATTATTGAATATTATATTGTGAATTATTGAATTATTAAAAGTATTGGTTTATAGTAAATAAAAGTTATAATTCTATGCTATATCCAACATCAATACTGTTGAGTTGAATATAACAACTTGATACGCAACAAGTTACTTTAGCTAGAGTTTTTTGTTAAATAGTCTAGAATTTTACGTAATATTTTTAGAAATACTTAATATATTAAAATCGAAAACCAATAATTATAACAACTGTTAACTACATAATGCCTATAATAAGTTTATTTAGAATATAGAAAAGAAACATCACAAAATGAAAATTAAGTACAGTATTACCTACAATTTAAAATAATTAATATTATTTTTAGTGATAACAAACTCAAGATGATAAGAAAACCGTGATAACCAGTTCCGAAAAATAGCTCGTGATTCTCTCGTATGCACTAAACATGGCCTACAAAATATTTGTATTCACAATTTTAATTACGTACAATATTTTAATATTCTATATAAGTCAAAATTAAATTTTTAATAATGATAAATAATAATTTATGTCAACTGCAGTATATTTATTTTTATACCATTATCAATATTTAGATTTTCAATGTGGCCACAGGTTTGGTGAAATCAAATTTAGTAGTTACTACTTTACAAGTATTGTCTCGGGTAGCACTTGTTGCTTGTATAGCATTTGTACCAGAAACATCTAATTCACCAGGGCTGCCATTGGCCCTAACTGCTTGGTGTTTTGCAGAAATTACCAGATACTCATATTATGGGTTCAGTATTCTTGGTTTCGTCCCTTATTTAATTATTTGGGCCAGGTAATGAATAATTTAAAGTAATTAACAATTGTGTGGGTGGGACTTTTAATTTATATTAATTTGATATTTATAGGTATACTTTCTTCTATATTCTGTATCCACTTGGTGTAACTGGAGAATTATTAGTATACTGGACATCATTAGGATATATTGGAAGATCAAAAATGTGGAGTATAGAACTGCCTAATCGATTCAATTTTGCGTTTAGTCTGTGGACAGCAATTACTTTAATCATGTTGTCTTATATACCACGTAAGTTTACTCAACATTAAAAATAAAATTTTAAGAATATGATTAAATTTTGTTATATTTTACAAGTTAAAGAGGTTAATTTTTTTATTTATCATTATTTGTATTCTTAATATTGTGGTTCAATTAAAGTTAATATTAGGTAATTTGTGAAGTAAAATATTATAATATTTTGATATGATTTTTTTTTTCTAGTATTCCCTCAGATGTATATGCACATGGTATACCAAAGGAAGAAAACTCTTGGAAGTTCAGAATCCAAAAAAGTACAAAAAAAAGTACAATGATTAATTTGTATTGTATATAGCTAGGTCTTGGGTATACATTAAATTTTGAACATTTCTGCCGAATCTTTGCCAACAATCTTTATAGACTGTTTTATAAAAATAAAATAATATATAAAACTTAACCATTGTTTATTGTTTGAAAAAATGAATTTATTTATTGTATTCCTTTTTTTCTTTGATTTTCAGACTAACTTAGTTCATAAATAATATTATCATACATTTTTTGTTTCATAAATCCTTTTTAATTTCTTTAATTTCGAATTTTATTTATTATGAATGAAACTTTTTTTCATTGCAGTTTATTTTTATTAAACTATAGATGAGTCCAGTTCAATTGATCAATATCCATCATCATCATTAAGGCCCAGAATTATATGCACTAAAAATGTACGAAATATGCATGCATTAATACGATGGTTATCATTCAAATATGCACTGAAAATATGCGAAAATATGCAAACAAAAATGCATGTTTATTATTTATTTAATTTTAAAATGTATACAATTCATTAAATAATTAATAATCAACAAAAAATATACTTTAAAATGTATCAACTCTCTCTTATATATTTTATTGAATTGTATGGAACTGTAAGTTGTATTGAAATTAAATTATTTTTGAACACTCTCATCTAAACAAAAAGTCACAAATGAAAATCAAACAAATCAAGTGGATTTTTATAATATTTTTAAAGTTACCAGAAGAGTTACTATCATATTGGTACTATCTTATCTTATTATAACACAAAAATCAAGTAATGTAACTGTACGATTCACGGAATTTACGATGGACATTCGCTAAGTAGTATAAATAATAATATTAATAACTTCGTAATATTTTTTTTTCTATATATGCATATTTCAGAAAAATGCTAAAATATGCATAATTGAAATATGCCAAATTTAATTTCGTACACCAACACATCAGATTGTGATTCAAATTTCTGTCTTACCTAGCTACTTTTTAATTTAATATATAAAAATATGCAAATGCATACAATTCCTGGCTCTAATCATGATAGTTCCATAAAAAATCTAAAAAATTGGTGCGTCGCGGGACGTACCGCAAAAGTGAGAACTTTATTTTCAGGTTAGATATTATGATGACTTGATATGATAAATGTAATTGATAATAATGACTGGTCGCCAAGACTGATCTATATTTAATCAATGAAAGTGGTTTAACCATTGAACTATATGATAACTGGAATGCTTACTAGCCATATGAACAATGTAAATAAAACTGAGCGACCGTGATAAACAAAGATAACAAATATATTAGGTAATGTTTTCTCTCTCTTTGTATATTATTCTATTCAACAATTGAATGTAAATCAATAATCTTATTTGGTTTTAATTTAATATTGTATTTTATAATTTGTTTAATACCTAATCAATTTATATTTACGTACCTTAGGTTTCATATAATAAAATGGTTAACTATTGTAGTGCCTATAATTGCACAAATTCAAGCGATATTAATAAAGGATTAATTTATTATTTATTATTATTATTTTTAATATTATTATTTGCTATTAAGTTTTTTCATAGATTTTACTTAAAACTTCAATTCTTAGTTTTTTTAATTAAAATACCTAATTATATATTAATATTAATACATTATTATATATTATACAAAGTAAATTATTTTAAAATTATCATTTTGTATTAATTTAAATATTAAAATAAATGTACGTGAGCACCTATGCAGACTGCTTTTATATTGAATAATAATCCAATATCTACCAACAGCAAACATAATTTTATCCAGTTAAATCTAAAAACCTTTATAAAAAATATATATTTATAGTGATGTTTAATATATTTAATATGAGGGAAACATCTATTCTCTCCAATATAAATGCCACTAACGAACGTCTGTAATTATTAATAATTTTTAGTTTTTTGGTTCAGAAATTTTTTCTATCACTGACACTACATACATTCATTAGTACTTGATACGTGGTAGTTTAAGCCTTCAAGCTTAAAAATAATTATTTGATAACCAGTTTTGTTTTCAAACACATATTGCAACAGATTCACGGTTTTAAATACCTAAAAAATTTTGTTAAATCATTTTTAATTGAAAGCAAAACGATTTTTAAATATATTTTCCTATATAGCAGTACATGTTAAACAAAGAAGGAAACACCTAATTGATATGCTATCTTTTTTTAACACGATCGCTCGGGCAACACTGTCTAGTGAGCGTTCCAGATATCATATAGTTCAATGGGTTTAACACGTGCGTGTCGATAAAGGTGTGATTCCTATGGACGCGGCGCGATTCAAATCTCAGCCGCGTTGCACTAGTTTACTTGTCGATAGATGGAACCGATTCTTATGACAATCGCTGCGGCGCGCGACTATCGCGAGCGGCCGCGACCGCGATCTAGCGACTGTTCTGAAGGGAGTCAAATCGCGGACGCGCGCGGTTGTGTGTTCACGTATATTATATTATACATATTGTTTAGTACATATTATTATACACTTTCATAGTTTTTTAAAAATGTCACGGTCAACACAAGTTACGTTTTCTCCAGAAGAAGACGTAAAATTAGCAGAACTAGTAAGTGGACATCCTTCTCTCCACAAATGTTTTTTCGATGAGTATACTGAAGACACCTTCTGTTTTCCTAGTTAAAAACATCTCATGTGCCTTGTTAGAATTGTTAAACATTACTTTATTAACAATTGTTTGTTCTTCATCTACTTCTTGTAAAAGAAGTAAATTTAAAATTAACTTTTGTTTTTTATTTAAAGACATTTTGAAAAAGAAAAAGATATTGTAAAATGAACTATTGTAAAATACGTCTTGTTGCTAACGGAGAATTACAGCAAATGGTCCGTCGAGCCCGGCGCGGCGCGGCAGCAGTCGCGCGGTTATAGGAATCCGTACCCAAGCCGCGCGGCCAAAAAATTGACCGCGAGACTGGGACTTGAATCGCGGCGCGTCTGCAAACGCGTCCATAGGAATCACACCTTAACAGTCGTTGCGGCTTGCGACTGTAGTGATCCGATAGCAGTGTCGTTTATGAGTCGCATGCGTGTTTTATTTTCCTTCATAATAATTTTCTTTCCTTTTTATAATATACGACGAATATATAATCATAATCATGTCGAAAAATATATACTATGTATATATATAAGCTATATAAAATTCTCGGAATTTCGGTTTACTATTATTTAAATGTACATTTATCAGAATTTTAAAAAAGCCTTCATCTACTCGAGTTGTAAAAAACTTGTCTATTGAATTTCTTTTAATAATTACTAATGGATTTTCATCTTCCTCTAGAAGAATACTAATTATATTATTATTATTAATAATAATTTTCTCCATTGCAGTTCGTAAAGTATAACAGAAATTATTAAAATAAAAATAATAAGTTAATATTAAATAAATACGTCTGTACACTACAAAATCATAGGATAAAATAGATTACTATTCCACTAGTCGCAAAGTGTAATCGCATTAAGGAAACCAGTCGGTACGTAGCGTTTAATCGTTGCGACCAGTCGCATATAGGAAACCGTATCTTTATGCGCGCGCCCCGCACCACGACTTAAATTTCGTTAAATTACGTTTGTCGGGTCAGTAAGTACTATATAAAATATATAAGTAACCCAACTTGTTTTTAAATATTTACATTATTTAGTTTCTCTATAAATATTTAAAAAATTTTCAACATATAGCAATCCATTACCCAAAGATCAAAATAACTATTATAACCTTTAACACTATTAGTAGATATGATGTAATTTATTTTCATGTACATTAATATATATATAATTTCAATGGCAAACAATAAATAATATTACATACTACATACTTAATATCTAAATTAATTTAAAAATAATTGGTATAAAAAAAAAATTATAAAACATAAAATAATTGTTTTGGTACCTGTATTGAATATAGAACATACAATTAATTAACTATGTAGATTTGTTATCAGACTCGAAAGTCTCATTCCGTAATTTTGTGGCCAACATTTTTAATTCCTTGTTTCGTTTAACTAAATCATCAATTGATTTTTTATACTTCTTTTGATGTGTTTGATCAATAGACCATCTCAGGTACATATCACGCCATAATTCCTAAAGTTTTAATTTAATTACTCAACTAAAATATTATGTTTTTATTTTAACTATTCTAAGTTATATGACATAGGTAAAATAATAGTTATATTACATTTTAATTATTGATGACGAATGATTATAGGTAAAATTTTGAATCTTAATACAAAATAATTATGAATATTAACATAATACTTACTATACTGAATGGAGCGACAGAAGGCCAAATCACATTATTTGTAGGCAAATAAAGAGGATTAGTAATCTCATTGATTTTTTTATCAAAATGAGACCATAAATTCGGTCTTCCGTAACGATTTTTTTTCCGATCAGCCTCACAATTACCATAAAATGTACTAAAATCTGAACAATATGAATGATCAACAAGTGATGACAAAAAATTTGTTGAAAATTGAAAACAACATGGAAATTGATTGTGTATTTGCCATGTACAATCTAAAAATAATAAAAAAGTTGCACCCGATCCATGATGAAAAATTTTAGATGATGATGATGATGATGATACTTTTGAACGAGCTGCATTGTAACAACCACTTTTATGGCGTGTTTCAAATGGATGTCCGGCTTGAAGCCATTCTCTCTCAATTAGTGATTCAAAACTATAAAAATAAACATACTCTATTACATTTCTCATTTGTAAAGATATTTTAGAAATAATGAAAATGAAAATCTAGAGTGGGAATTTTATACCCCTAGCTTTTCAAGCGAGTGCTCTTTCACTAAGCTACCTAAGGGCATATCATTGCCCACGGGAATAAATCTCCTATGTGAAAAATTACAAATAAAACTCTTATGTGCTATTTTTTTTTCTATGTTTAATTAAATAATTAAATTAAATAATCTCTTTTGTGTAGGGGTAATCATAAATGTTTCTGGAATACCTCCTATGTGAATAAAAATATGATAGGCAATCACATTGAAGGTATTGTCGTTTGTGTATAGATTAGTGCTATGAAGGGATAGATAAATAAATAACTGTTTTGTCTCTACTAAAAAATTGTGTTTTTTCATATAGGAGATTTATTCCCACGGACAACGATATATTAATCATTAAACTCTAAATACTCAAAAAGTTGTTTTAAACATTACTTATCATAACAAATATTAATTTTATTAAAATAATAAAAGATATGTACCCCACAATTGTACGACATTCTGGATTTAATATCAGCTGTGTTAAAGATATTAATACTAATGTAGCATCTGTACTCTCTGATCCATGTACCAATACCGATGCTCTCTCTTGATTTAAGCATTGTGCTACTAAACATGCTGCATTTAATGTATCTTTGACATGAGATAGCCATTCACTCCCATTTAATTTATTTAGCCATCGATCAATAGTACATGTTATATCATTACAAGCTTCAATCATTTTTGATAAGCTATCTAATAGAACATTGTGCCGTTCAAGAGCTGAATTAACTCGTCGCCATTGAGGATAATGAGCTTCCATTTCAAATCCACCTCCACGAGCTTTGGCATTTGTTGCATTAGCAACACTACGAGTATCAATTATATATCCTCTTTTTCCAGGCCCAAGAACAGAATTTATAACACGTTCATCTTGTTTGCAACGTTTTGAACTAGATCCAACTAATGGTTGACTGCTCCTCATCAGCACACTCTAAACAGTAGTTAATTTAATGTTAGTAAATTTTTCAAAGCAGTTAATAACAATATTTCAAAACATTTTTATAAGGAACTTACCCCTTTTTCATGACGATAACTTAACACTGGAAATCTACCATTTTGCCGAAACTTGGCAGAAGCAATTAACATGTTATCATCAACATTAGAAGGAACTACAGTTAATTCAGGGTAAGAACTACACACCTTTAAATTTTTTTTTTATATTTTAACATAATTTTTGATTTAATAAAATTAATCTTAAAATATACCCTGTAAGATTTATTGACATGAGATATTCTCCACATTGAATCACCAGCAACAAGATTCTCACACTGAGATTGTACATCAAATAAAGAACGATGTTCATTAGTTTTATTTGAAAACACATGGTGCAAATAATCTGCTTCATCTTAAAACAATTATATAATTAGATTAAAAATAAACAATTTTAAAAATGAATCAATTTATATTTATTAACCTGTCATTATGAGCGATTCAATGGAAGCAGCAACTGAGGCAGCTTGCTCAATATATGGCATATCGAAAACAATAATTCTAAAGTCCTTACATTTTAAAGTAATTGTGTTTAATTTCCTTTCCACAATATCAATATTATGATTTAAAATCTAAATGTATTAACTTAAATTAATTAATAAAATAATAAAAAATTAAATTAAAATTAAAAGTTAGTAAATTAATACTTGTTGGTTAATAAATTAACAAATAGTTTATACATAGAAATAAATTAATTAATGACTATATATATACCTGATAATGAATTTTTAATTCAAAATTAGTCGTACTTTACAAATATAAAAATAATTCAGGCTAAGCATTTGTTTATATATTTATTTCTATATAAAAACAATTTAATTATTCATTTTTTCATTAGATTAATCATATTGAATAGTACTATAATATGTAAAAGTGAATTGATAAACATAACTATAACAAGGGTTGAGATGTTTATATATTAAAAATAAAGAAATAATCTCAAACTATATGCAATAAAAATAGAACAAAACTATTTAAAAGTAATAAAAAAAGTTTTAATTAGGAAAATTGGATCAAACAACAATGGTTTTTGTCAACAATTTTCAACAGTTTCATATATTATGGTACTAGTAAATTTTTGAATCCATTAGAAATAAAATTACTTAAAAAAAGTGTATACAAAAATAAAAATATCCAACAATAAATAAGCAATAATCTGTATACATTATGCATATATTTTTTATATAGTATAGATAATCAAATTCCTTTAATAAAATTTAAAATTATTGTTTCTTGTTTTTAGTTTTTTATTGTTAAAATCTGTCAAATCACAATTAAAATATCAAAAATAAAATAAGCATTTATAAATTGAATTTAAAAAATATCAAAGTATTCGCCAAATAAAATTTGATATTTTAAATATAGACATCATGAAATTGATTTCTATCTAGGAATGTATGCAAAAGGACAACCTGAAAAAAGGATTCAAAACCATAATTATATTTATTTAAACTATAACTATACCTAACTATAACATTTATAACTAATTTTTGTTGGTCAAATTTTATTATGTCCTTTAAATTAAAAATACATATGTTTATAAATATTATAAAAACAAAAAAGTCTACTATATACATTACTCTCCAACAACAAACATAATAAATTGTCATTATTTACCCATAGTTCAACATCTTCAGATATTGATGAAAAAATTAAATGATGTCCAGTAATGACTAGTGTTCCAGTACTCGTATTGGATATATGTGGTCCCCTCATTGTAACTCCATTCAACTTCGGTATTCTAATTTTGTCAGCAAACTCCATTGCAAGATCATTTCCTGATAACATTCATTTAAAAATTATGATGGATATTGGTAAAATTATAAACTGAAATAAGAGTATTATTCTTTCAATTATTTTTACCTGCGTTCCGTAATGTTATCTATGAAAAATTCTCGTTGTAATTATCACACAAAGCTATTGAAATCATTCATATAGGCAGGTAACGTTAATAGTTTTGTTCTGATATATATTTGTTCGAAATCCCAATGGCTCTACAAGTGTTTCTAATGATTTGATTTCGCCCTTATTTTTAACATTATTATTTCATTATCAATATTGAACACCCAATCGTCTTATCACCATACTAACACAACGCTATCGGTAAATCACTATCATTGGTTTTCATGGAAAGGTTGAGCAATTAACATTTGTCCCAAAAATGATAAGGACCTAAGACATTATAAGGTCCGAAATTTAAAAAGTAGTACCAACTGATTAAATTGAAAATTACCAAATCCAATTTTATAATTTATATTGATAAAAGTTATACAAAATACCCCGATTTTCAAAGCGGGAAAAATACTAATATAGGTTATACTGTTTTCAACAAGAATTTTAATTCTTTTACATTATTTGTTTGTATATTTTTAACAAAATGGACCAAATTTTAAACAACATATATTTATGTATAAAATTAAATCTTGAATATGTTTTTGGGTTACAACTTTGACTTGTATTATTTTAGTAACCAATGTAATTAAAGAAGGGTAATTTTCTGTTCTCGCAATTTTTCTTGATATCCATCTAAAAGACATACCAATATTATAAATCTATGTAAGGTATCATCTATGTTTATAAATATCTAGCTTAATATTTAATTATATATAAACCTTTCGTAAAATATATTTGTTTTTCATATTTTTTTTTAGTTTTCTATGTACTAGTATGTAAACAGTATAAAATATTATATGTTTTGTTTTAAGTATGAATTGAAAGATAAGTATTGGGCCTATAATTATTAATATAATATAATATATAACTTATTATAACTTAATATAAGTTTTACTGTACATAAATCTGAAAATTCTGTGTAGATTATTTGTTGAAATTTATAATTATTGATTAGTATATTTTGTTGTACTATACTCGCATATGATATAAATATCATTAATCCTTGTATTCCTATAGTATACTTCTCTGATTACGAAATAATCAGAAATAGAAATCGCAAAATGTTTCTTTATGCATAATATAATAGTCTCAGGTTAGCTTAAATTAGCCTCAGGCCTAACTGGCCCATCGTAGGCACAAATAGGGGGAGGCTAAGTCCCCCTAATGGGAATTCAGCCACCTGGATTTATTATCATTTTATATCATATAAATTCATATCTTTAAATTAAAGTGATCTTTTTTTATATAGTAAAGCTTTAATCTGGCAACATTACTGCTCTTAGTGATTACAACTAATAATAATAATTTAATAATTATTTAAAACTATTTAAAGATATGGAGACAATGCCTCAACAAATAATTTTTGGTAAAAATGGTAGGCTTGAAGCCTCTCTCCTCCAATTGAAATTCCCAATTTGCGCTTATGTGGCCAATCCCAAAACAAAATCAATTGATAATTTTAATTCGCTCTAGTTTCATTTGATACAATCATATTATGTAATATTCTGTACAGAATATTACATAACATGGATTGTATATAGTATACTGTACATATTATAGGATTAAGTTATTAAAATATCGTAACTGAAACATAAAACCCTGCGGAGGTATTTTAAAACCGGCGCGGTATGAATACGGTATCACATCTCACGTGTCCAACAAGTTATCACATAAAGAGAGTGATAAAAAATACTTACACAACTTACTATCACAATATGGATATTAAGTTGGCTGTGCTTATGGAGTATTATTTAATGCAATATTGCATCACGAAATAGTTCAAATGATCAACATTCAACCATAGTTTTCAATTTTCGATCCTCTGTATGCTATACATTGAATTTATTTTTTATATTTCCATTATTTTAATTTGTTTCTAACAATGATTTCAAATATTGCCAAAACCATGTCTACGACAAAAATATTCACAAGGAAATTTAATACAAGCACAAGTAAATTAAATTGTTCAAGTAAAAAATATTTTTCTTTACTCTTATGTAATTGTTGATATTTTAGTTAGACGTAGAATCATTAAAATCCAAGATAAAGAAGACTTTGATAAATATGTGATTCAAAGCAAAGAGCCTGTGGTCATTGATTTTTTTGCAACGTAAGTAAACCTAGTATTGATTTTAAATATTAGAATGTATATCAATTAACATGTAATCATAGATATATTAAATTCAGCATTAAATTATTTTAATGCAATCTGTATTTAGTGTAAACTTTAAAATTTTTTTTTTAAAAATATCAAGAAAATGACCAAAAAAATTGTTTCTTTTTTTATAAAATTCAAAATTTGATATTTCAGTCAATCTTGATAACTACTATGTGTGTATAGCAAGAGTTTTATATATGTTTATTAAGTGAATAAGTTTGTTCCAAAAAATAAAAGCATTAAAAAAAAAAAATTAAACTGTTGAAAACTAAATGATTATTAATAAAAAATTATAATTATTTTTCATTATTTCAGCTGGTGTGGACCTTGTAAAATGTTACTACCACGAATTGAAAAAGTTATAGAAGAGTATAATGATACAGTTAATCTTGTTAAAGTAGATATTGATGATAATGCTGAAATTGCTATGGATTATGGTGTAAGTAAAGAATTACTATGATGATTGTTAAATCATTGCATTACTGTAATTCAAATTGTTTTACGTTATGCATATAGAATATATAAGAAATAATTTATCGTTACCTTTTAGTTGAATATAGAAAATTTTATTGAACACAACATAATGTAGTAATGAAATACTTTAATATGTATAACATAATGTTAGCAGTATTTATGATATTATAGGAGTTTTGTTTAAAATTAAAATTAAGATGCATTAAATTTCTTCTTATTGTTTAATCTATTATATTGATTGTATTCAAAATTAAAAAAAAAAAGGATTGTTAATCATTTATAACCAGAGTACATACTTAAAAAATTATTAGGCTAATATTTTTTGCATACTTTCTCTTGCTTAAGAAGAAAATAGCTACCGACATGATTTAATACAGTGTTTCCCAACTTCTTTTACCCATGGAATCTTCGCAGGAACTTGAATATTTTTGCATAATTTCCCTTTCTTTTAATATGATCAATGAATACCAGATATTAAATATCTCGGACAACAGCTATAACAAGTATTATCAATTATTATAATATTATATAACAAAAAAAAGATATAATAAGACTCAGTAACATCCCAAAAAAAAGAAGATAAGTTCTTGTTCTTAATTTGAATCCTTGTTCTAATCAAAAATGTTATTTATTTTTTTCTGAATTCCCCATATAATCCTTGTAGCTGGTTTATGGAACCTTTGGGTTTCACAGAACACCAGTTGAGAAACACTAATTTTGTATGATATTAATTATATATGTTAGCTGTTAATAAAATTGTATTAATAATAAATATTGTAAGATAGTTAAAATGAATAAATTGCTTATTTATATTTATTCTTTCTTAAAATGTCTTAGGTTTCTGTAGTGCCAGAATTAATTGCCATAAAAGATGGCCAAGTTCAGGGAAAAATGATTGGTCTACAAGATGAAGATAAACTGAAAACTTTTGTTTCAAAGTTAGTTGAATCTAATGTAAACAAAAAATAATTGCTTATAGTTATGAAGTATTCAAATTCTTACTGCATTGTGAATCAACATTAAGCTGGAAACTGAAATAATTAGATTTAGTTAAATGTGTTGATGTTAATTATATTTATTCGATTTTTGTAAAATAAAGCATAGTTAATAATTATTAAAATATTTATTAGTCTACAATTTGAATGATAGTCTTATTGAAATCAGATTTATAATTATTTGTTCATGATGAAAATAATTCTTAACTGTATGAGGCCAAAATTGTGATAATGTAAGCACATGGAATAATTATATTATGGGTTTTACATTCAATTGTTTGAAGGTATTCAACTAAAATATTAATGGAAAAGTACTGACTGGTTTATAGAGTTCAGTAAAAGCAATAATAATAGTGCTTAAGTGCAAGCCTTACATACATATGTGTGTGTAGTAATTACATGGTTCACATGGGTTAGTATTTGGTCGAATCACTAAAGCAAGTTCCTAAATCGAATACTAAATTGCGTGTAGTTTATGTCTAAATATAATATAGTAAAATTAATTATTGTTCATTATAGTAATGAGCTTTGTAGGAATATAGCACCAAAGTTAATGTAATATTATCATTATTAAATTATTTTTTTGATTTTTAATACATTTATTTTCAAAGTTTTTTTTAATAAGTTTTTAGTCTTAACCTATGATAAGGTAGTATTCTTATAGTATTATTAGAAAAAAAATCGTATTTTTAATTATAAGTAAATGGATAGAGCAATAACAGTAAAATTGATATCAAAATGCTGCACAACAATAATTAGTGAAGATTAGAATGGGAGAAAATAATTTGGATAAGAAATACACATGGTGTTAGTAACTTACTTTTAAGTGAACTTGCAGTGAACGTGTAACTGAATTTACTAATCGTTTTAGGATGTCTTACGCCATGGGACATTGACTGAACGAGTTTTTACAGCCGTCATTATTTATATATCTTATCGAGTTTTTGATACGACATCGTTTAATGGTTTGCGTGTGCCATCCTTGAATAAAATTAATTCGTATTTCTTTTTCTGTTCACTGTAAAAATTAATGTGATCCACCAAAACGTATAAATATCCAGGCACGTTTACTACTGACGGAATAGTTGTATACTGCCAGATATGTGAGAAAAAAAGTGCCGTGCTCAAAGAAGTATCAAATTGTCCAGCATCTATGTATAGCATGGGGTGGAGTGGGAACCAAATTCAGGCTGGGAAATTGAAATTTATCCAAGCTACCCACCCACATTTTACCAATTAAATCACCAAAAAAAATTGTTCTTGCTACACTCAAATTAAATTTGTATTTTGATTTCCAGAAATTACTTAAATACACTAAAATATAAAAAATAAAATAAAATACACAAACGTTTTTAATAATAACTGATTGTAATAGAAATACATTTTTTTTTTATTTTATTTATAATTAAGTAACTACTTTTAGTAGGTACCTAATAGAGATGTAATGTATATGAATCACTAAATGCAAGAAGGGCACATGTCCACATTTTAAAATTTTTCAGAAGTGACAAAAAAAGGTCACATGTCTAGGACATAGCCGTTATTGCATTTAACACAAAATATTATGATCATTTTATAATATACCAGTAAACTGGTCATGTGTCCCGTTTGCACAGAACAGTGTAATTGTTGAATCTAAAAAAAATCTGTAAAAATATAATTTTATGAAAATTATGGACATGTGCCCTTCTTGTATTTAGTGATTCGTATTCGATGCTACAATACCTTATTTGTTTTATCCGTTTTTCCATGACAAGCTTTTTATACTATTTATTATTAATAAGTAATCCATATCTATACACTAAAGATAATGTATGTCTATGATTAATCGACCTAAATAATACGAAAATAGTTCTTATCTTGCAGGTACCTGTTCGTAGTTAGCTTTATTTTACTCGTTGTAGACGTATATATTAACATACAATCATATGTGCCGTGCCGGGACCTAACGTTTTGCTTGTTGTAAGCAGTATCTCGTTCTAAGCGATGCTCGCTATAGTGATTTATAGTTTGTACTGTATTTAATAATAATTTAATTATGATATTCGAGTATTTTGCACAATTTTTATTTTTGTATTTTAATTGCCATGTAAAATGGTAAATATCGCTGGCTTCGAATATACTTCTCGCAGGACTTTAAGAACCATAAGCCATATAATATTATTATTAAACGTTTTGTGTTGCGCGAAAACTTAAACGAATAATTTTCATAACGTATTGTATTGTAGCATTGAATACTGATATTCGAATGGTCGAATAATTCCCATCACTGGTATATATTATAAAAGTATTTAATTATTATGCTAATTTGTACTTCTAAAGTATTATTATATCAATATACCTACCACTTATATCTGAGGAATAAAATTAGCATAGTTTAAATTAACGAAATATCAATAATTATATATATTGTACTTTACTAGTTTAAATAATTAGAAAATTGGATTTTGGTTTTAAAATTGGTTTTATGCTTAAAAATAAATAAGTATAAATATTAAAATGATTTTTGTTAATGTTAAGTAATAAATTTAATTTATTTTTAAGTATTATGCTAAGGAGTGAGAGGGCGGAACCCCCGCTTTAATGTGTTTGGAAAATTAGCTAGACCCTCCCCCATGAAAAATTTTTAAATACGCATTTGACCGTATTACCGCTTTTTTCGTCGTTTTTTCTGTTGCTGAGAGACAGGGCTGAAGTTAGGGGGAGGCAAAACGAGCATTTGTCCTGGGCCTTGCGTTTAAAAGTTTCATAGAAAAATATTTTGTACGGAAATCTCATAAAATATAACGTGAAATGCGCAGAACGCAAGGCAAATGCGATTTATAGAGAAATTCGTTGGCGTGTAATAAAAACCAACTAACAAAACAACAATATTATATTTTATATGTTATGTATGCACCAATGACGACTCGTACGGTACGCCGCACAGTATGTAAACTGGGATACATAAGAAATGTATTTTATTGCATTTCTTAAATTTAATCAGTTATTACCCGATATCGCATATCGCATATCGCCATTTAATTGCGACCTACAACCCATAGGTGACTATTGTTGTGGGTAAAATAAGTTTTGCCCAGGGCCTCGAAAAAGGTAACGCTACTGCAAGAGTGTATTGAGTTGTGACTAGGGGGGGGGGGGCGAAACTAATTTTTCTTCAATATAAACTTAAAAATAATTTATAGTTCATTACAGGGGCGTACCCAAGGGGTGTTCGGGTCCGGACCCCCCCAATGAAATTTCTATACACTCAATGGTTTAATAGTAAATAGTCAGTGATGTAAAAATACCGTATTTTATTTTTTAATTGTATAATACGTGTATAATACAATATTTTACAAAAATATTTTGGTGCTTACATAATTGTTAAATATATAACTGCCGGTTAAGAATGTAAGATCAATAATATTAGACATTATTAGGTCAACCCATAGTAAAAAGAATTGATTTTTTAATATTATTTATTATTGTTAATTTAATAATGAATTTTTTATAATATTTTACTACCAAATAAAAATTGATTTCAAATTATAATACCTACCTATTTATAGTAAACCTTTGTGAAGAATATGTGTATAACTATTGTGACTATTACTATAGTTATTAACAGTAATTTGTTGGTGTTGAATTAAACTATAATTATAATTAGAGAACAGATAAAATACAAATTTTAGACACCTCTAAAAAATTCCTGGGTTCATAACCTACAGCTCATATTCCTGTTGTTCATTCGAGTGAATAAATAAAAATACAAGTACCAAAGTGAATAAAATATTTATTTAATAAATATATTTAAAACCTTCTGTATATAAAATAAATATTAATAATAACAATACAAATAGTTTTTATCTATATTAAAATTGTACCTTCAGTTTGAATCTTGTATAAAAAAAAATAACAAATAATCATAGTAGTAATTGAACCTATTAATTAATTTTTAAAAACTTTAAAAAGCAATTTAGATAGGTAACTTAATTTAACAAAAATCTAATTAGAAAACATAAGGTTGGTAATTAGTCAAATAACAAATTCCAAATTTCCTTTTTTTCATTTTGGCAAATTTGTTGATTGTTTCATTAATGGATACAATAATATTCTTATGCATATGCAGCAAAGTTAAATCTGTTAGTCTATGCTGGCCTATTCTTGATCTTAACCATGTTTTCAATTTACAAAAATATATTTTTGGCCAATATTAGCAAGTTAAAGAATATGGAAACAAATATTGTCGGTTATAATGATTATTATTTGGGTTAGGGTAGGGGCTTCTAGCTCTATAAAATACACAAATATGCATGTATTTGTGCACAAAAAAATGACTAAATACCTATGCACAGCAAAAATTATCAGATATTATATCGCAAAAAAAAAAATAGACGAGTAAAATTATTAGGGACTTATATAGCTCTAATAAATACAAAAATATACAATATGTATAAATGCACCAAAAAATGACCAATAAAATATGTGGTAAAAAAAATGTTACTTTAAATTACTTTATATTATCTGATAAATACCTCGGTTATGGTTGTACATGTCTATAACCGTAGCAATATCGTTCTAACTTTCTGATTTTGAATAATTTCGTTCACCAAATTGCACGTACAAGATAATGATTTTTCCCGCAGGTTCGACTACCAGATGGCGTACACAGTTTCTAAATCTCAGATATCACATTATGAAAATATTTCGTGAACATTTTTAATCGCGCGTTTCGGTTATAATGACTGCATAAAAAAACGATCATAATATTTTCTAACCACTAGGATGATCGAGGAAAGAAAAATCCATGTATCGCGCAAGGCTTGACGAGTAGTTGAACTGTTGACGAACACGTCGTCAGGTACGTTTATTATTATTATTTTTGTTGTCCGTTCTCGTGTCTAATGTCATAACTGTAAGGCCCAAAGTGGCCAATACATATTGCGCCGTAACGGGGATTTCCAAAACGAGATCGGAGGGGCTCCATGAACCGAGCAGTTGTGTGATTTTTAATTTTCCGTTTTTCCCCATCGTTAACGATTTATAAACGAAACGTGTCAATAAATTACTCGACAGACGCGGCCGTCCTACGGGGAGGGGTTTAGCGAAAAGCTCTGAGGGGCCT